TTGCAGTGAGCCAAGATCACGCCACTGCACTCCAGCCTTGGCAACAGTGCAAGACTCTGTCTTGAAAAAAAAAAAATCAGGAAACTTAAAGCAGGTCAACCAAGATTATCTACTCCATGGCGGGGAGGGGGTGGGAAGAATAAAGAAAAAAAAAATCTGTAATCCTAGCACCTTTGGAGGTCAAGGCAGGAGGATCACTCAGTGAGCTGAGACCACCCTGGTGAACAGCGTGAGACACCATCTCTACCAAAAAAAAAAAAAAAATTAGCCACATGTGATGGTGTGTGCCTGTAGTCCTAGCTACTTGTGAGGCTGAGGCGGGAAGATTGCTTGAGTCCAGGAGTTCAAGGCTGCAGTGAGCTATTATTGTACCACTACCCTCCAGACTAGGTGACATAGTGAAATCTCATCTCTAAAAAACGAAAACAACAAAGCAAAACAAAAAAAAAATGAATACAATGAACAAAGCCTCAGAGGCCTTAGGATATGACCCAAGTGTACCAACAAACACCAAATGAAATTATCTCAGAGCAGAGTTTTTGGTGTACTATTGGAATCAGGTGGGTATTAATCCAAACTAGATTATTTTAAACTAAGGTGTTCACTGTAATTCCTAGGCAACAACTAAGAAAATAACTCTAAAAAACAGAGTAAAGAAATTAAAATGGCATACTAGACAGTTATCTATTTAACACAAAAGAAGGCAGTAATGAAGGGACAGAGGTATAAAAAAGACATAAGTCACACAGAAAGAGCCTAAAACTTACAAAGTAAAACTAGTGGGAATCTAGGAACTCAGTTTATCTCGTTCTCAAAATTTGACTTTCTATCTTAAGCAAACTACACCAAAAATAACCATTACAATATCTTATTCAACCAAAAGGGTATCAAAGCAATACTGACCAACCTAACACTGATGACACATTAAAGTTCTGGCCTCCTTAATTACGCTTCTGCTATATATGTGTGCACGCAAGCTCCATGTGTGACAAGCAGTCACATGGCCTCAGTCACTTTCCCTACAGGCATGGATGCTTCGCATGGAATTCACAGCATCAGAAGTTAGATCACGTGGCATTAAATAAGTGACAACGCTGTCATTTTTCTGAACCTAAGTGTCACACTCTAATGCTGAGGGTGTCATGCTGTCTCAGTCTCCAGTGGTTTAGAACCTGAAGAATCAAGAGGGGCCTTGGAGATCAATTCGGAGCATCTCCTCATTGCAAGAAGGCACCCCACTGCATCCCTGGCCAATGGGGCCCAGGCAATCCTGCAATGCTTCCAGTAGAGAGCTGACCTCCTGCATCAGTCTCATCTACCAACAGGCAGTCTGAATATTAGAAAGGGTTTCCTTCCACTGTCTAGAAAACTCATTCTACCTATGGCCCTGATTTTGCCCTTTTGAAGAAATCTATTTGCTCTTCCACCTAACAGTACCTCAAATAGCTGAAGACAGAGATCATATTTCCCCTGAGTAATTTATTCATTGCTCTAAATATTATCCATTTCCTTTCACTATTTTTCATACAGTTTCCATTCCGACACTTTCTCAATGCACCCTAAAACATTTGTACATCTAAAGTGTCCCTCTTCAAATGTGGTACTCAGGACTCAATAACACCTCAAATATGGGCTGTGCAGTGCCATGCACAGAAGGATCTTATCAGACACTGGTTTTCTGCTTTACTTGTAGCCATCAACATGGCTACTCAAATAATGGTTCACTAAAGCTTCTGCAGTTTCATTAAAGGGAAACGAAAAGGTATGAAGAATGTCACAAACACCCATGAACTCACTACCCTGCAGAAGAAAGAAAAGATTGCTAATCAGCTTAAAACTCCTGCGTATCTCTCACTGTTCACATTCTCTTCCCCGCAACAGTAACCTCAATTTGGTCCTCATGATTCTTCAGGGTCTTTTTAAACACAAACTGGGGAAAAAAAAAAAAAAAAAAAAAGCCCACCATCCTTCCACCACACTATTTTTTATACCTAAATTCTTAACTTTGTAAAGTTTCAATTCATTTTAATCCCCACCTCAATGTCTCCCCCACCCCCTGGCATTTTATCCTCCCCAAATAATCTGTGAATCCCAATTCTGTCAT